ACGTTTCACATTGAACATGTGCTCTTTTATTAAATAAACTAAACGCCTATGTTATTTATCCAATGTGCATGTTTCAGTGTCCACAGCCTGGCGTATTCACATTCTCCCTCCGCTCTGTTTCTGAAGGGCGGGGCTCCGCTCCCCCCCCACACACACGCGCGAATGCACACACTCACAATCAGAGACAAGAGCGGAGGAAAGGAGGAGAACAACAGCTCTGCTGTCTGCCCGTTTGTGTCCCCCCCCAGTTTCAAATTCGTTTATTATTATTATGGGAGAAAATAAGTTTCTAGCTAAACGTAATTGAGAATGCAGTTTAGTTCTGTGGGAACGTAATTTTTAGGAGACAGGGTGTGTGTGTGTGTGTGTGTGTGTGTGTGTGTGTGTGTGTGTGTGTGTGTGTGTGTGTGTGTGTGTGTGTGTGTGTGTGTACGAGTCTCTTTAATCAATTTTTTCCACTCAAGCGTCCAATTTGCGTGACGGGTTCTCGTGGTAGCCAATCAGCAGTGAGGATCTCAGCCACTGTCGTTGAATCAGAAAACCAAAACATCAGCCGTTAGCTGTTAGCACACAGAGCTCACAGCTCCTGATATCTGTTCAGAAACTGGACAAAAGTTAAACATGTATAACCCACAGACTGTCTATGTCATGGTGAATACAGTCGCTGCTTTATTTCTGTCTTTAGGACGTTTTTGTGAGTTTGGACGGAGCAGCTACAGGTTAGTTTAGAAAGATCGATCCGATCTCCATTAAGAAAACACGCATTTTAAAAGGTTTTTCGCCTGCCGTCTTGTCTGCACATTTGTCAAAGCATTAATTCATGGTTTTCACTAACAGTTATCAGTATTTTGTTACTTCGGCATAATTTCAAACGTGTATTACAATTAAATCACGGTAAAATATTTTAATTTAGTTGTAGTTGGTTTCTTCCACAGTATTTACATGGATATAAGCCCCGCCCCCTCTCCAGCATGTCCTGTTTGAATGACAGGAGTAAACACAGCTGACAGCCGCGGTGAAACTCCAGCGATTAGAGCGATGAGAATATTCGCATCGCGTCCGGTGTGAACGCAGCATAATGCAGTTCAGAGACCAGACCACTGCTCTGTCGCTTTTAAAGCAACTTCGAGATCTCAACAGTGTGAGGGGCACAAAGGCGGCCGTAGGACACACAATTATTTGTTGGGCATGACGTTCAGACTGAGGGGCAACGACGGCCATGGCCGCCGTGAAATTCCTACCCTGGTCATCACGCATGACAATAGCGACATTTAGTTTAGCTGTGGTGATGCGCAGACATGACTGAAGTAGTTTGTTTATAGCCTAATAATTTTGTTGCAAAAATCATAAAGTGGTGTTCATACATGGTCTTATTTTTTCTGCAATAATTCTAAATCCAATGGAAAGATCCCTAATTATTTGTCGAGGGAGCCCTTGCCATGTTAACTTCCGTGTTGGCCTAGGAAAATCTATCATTACTGCACCACTCCATTAAGGAAGACTTTAACATCCCCATTACTTGATGATAAAGATATATATATATATGTTTTAAAGGTACCTTTGCTCCCTCCAGCGTGTGAGGGTCTTTCTGAAGTGCATTGTTCAGTCCTTCCTCTGTCGTGAATCCAACCCAACAGAAGCCTTTGTGGAACCCTGTTTCTTTATCCTGGTGAAACACACGCAATCCAGTAAGAAATTGCAGGGATGCTCAGAATGAAACCAAACGTTTTGATCTGTGGGATGGGTAACTCTCTCTGCATTTTGAAAACCATACTGAAGAAATTATGAAACTCATGGCTGCCTGTAAAGAATTAACATTTAAACATATAATATGTCTACATTTGAATAGTAATAAATGGATAGGAAAAATGTTCATTAGTAACAAATGGTTTTCTTCAGTAGTACAATTTCAAGAAGTTGTCTGTAGTTACATTCATCTATTTTGTCATTGCAAACTACACGTCTACAACCAAAACAAAGCTGCTTACAACCAGTGCTGCAAACAGAATCAAAGTTGCATTTGGATATACAGAAATCAACTAATGTGCAGCATGAGCAATAAACTAATTGGTAGTAGAGTAAAAAGGGGTGAAGCTGGAATATGAAAGGGATGGATAGACCCAATCAATATATTAACAGTGAATAGTACATTCTAATGGTGTGGCAACTTACAAATGGAAGCAGACACTTCTTCACAGGACCAAACTGTGCAAAGTACTCCTTCATCTCCTCTGAAAAATAATAAGGAACATCTCATGTTTTCAGCAAATCACAAAAACCTTTAATTTAACAAATCATGTCTTGAGGCTTGAACTACAAAGAATGCTACAATATTATTGAAGCGTGTCATTTGTATTTTTTTTGTATCAGGGTCATTTTTTCAAGCACACTTAGCTTAAACTACTGTAGTCTGATATAACAATCCTGCACTAACTAGAGCCTTAATTAAGAACACAGTGTTGGTGAAACTGATTTAGGCTGCAGCCACACGGAGACGATACGGGTCGTATCCGCTACAGTTCTCTATCATATAGACCAGGGCTATTCAATTCGTTTGGAATGTGGGCCAGTTGATGAAAATGATCCAAAGCAAAGGGCCGGGAAAAAGATGGCTTGAAATATGAGCAATCATATTAAGAGCTTCGGATGCAGTAAATACTACAACAGCATAGTGGAGTGCATATATTGTATTTAATTAAATCAAACAACATAGCCTCAAGACCTTTATAGATCTAAATGGCAAGTTCAGAAGGCCTATATGTGAAACTAATTTAACCATCAACATCATTTCATTTGATTTAATTTAGGTGAAATGATCTAATCATTCACGCAGAGATGCAATAAATGACAGGAGTTGTCACTACAGTAGCTAGTAGGTGGGTTCGAAACCCGAGCCCGCCGAAGTTTTCAGGCA